GACTCAAGGCCGTTTTTTTTGCGTCTAGAACTTTTACGTGGTACCACTATTGCAGCCAAATTTTGTCAGGTTGTCATAGACCTGAAGCTGGAGGTCAAGTGATAGCATGGGATCGAATACACGATCTAATGATTTCAAAGTGAACGCCTTACCACCAGGGATGTTCAAAAATTAATTGCAATTTATTTTTGAGTTTTTTCCATGGCAATCAAATAATTGTAATGGGGAATTTCTATCAATCAGTTATTGCAATTAATGGGCTTTCTCGAATGAAACATAATTTCAAGAAAAGAATTTGTTCTGCATTTTGAGGATGATTTATTTTGAGGATGATTTATTTTGAGGATGATTCATTTTGAGGATGATTTATTTTGAGGATGATTCATTTTGAGGATGATTTATTTTGAGGATGATTTATTACAAACTTCCGTGTCTTTTTGCCCCTTAGTCGGCTGTTTTACTAGAGGAATAACTGATATTCCAAGCTTGCCGGCAAAAGTCGATGTCTTTCACACAATGAAAGAATTTCCAGGCTACATTAGGCCTGCAATACTGTTTTAATAAGTGTTATAAATACGTGTTATTATTGCCAATAAATTGCATCCCATTAATTGCAATTAATTTTTTCCGCCATTAATTTTTGAACATCCCTGCTGACCACTATGATAAGTGCCTCTTAAATCCTCACGTGGCCTAAAATAACGGTGAATTTGGTTACGTAGCAGTATTTAGACAACCTTGTATTCATACTCGATCGTCAAATACTGCGGCGGTAACTAATCTGCCACTTTTTTATGCTGCTCTTAACAATAAACAATTAATGCAGCTAATCGTTGGCTTAAATTTCAACCAATCAGAAATCAAGAGGAAAATTTTTGGCCCTTATGCGACTGATTTTATATTTTGGGTCCTGTGCTTATTTGGACCTATGGGAACTCGCCGGAGTGCGGTCTGTGTTTAGACAACCGCGTATTCATACTTATCAGTGAGCAGACAAATACTATATTAACCAATCAGAATCGAGACCAGGAAAAATTATTGATTAATAATTAATTATTTATTATCGTAAGTTAGCTTTCTCATCTCAATTCCCATTGGTTAATATTATATTTGTCTGCCTACTGATAATTATGAATACGCGGTTGTCTAAACACAGGCCACACTCCGGCGATTTCCCATAGGTCCAAATAAGCACAGGACCCAAAATATAAAATCAGTCGCATAAGGCCCAAAAATTTTCCTCTGTGATTTCTGATTGGTTGAAATTTAAGCCAACGATTAGCTGCAATAATTGTTTATTGTTAAAAGCAGTATAAAAAAGTAGCAGATTAGTGACCGCCGCAAGGGTATAACCGGAAAGATCCAAGTTATTTTTATGAAACATCCATAAATCGCTTGGGGGGGGGGGCAATTGTACGGTTGATCCCCCAAAGCAAGTATGAAAGATGGAGCCCGCAATTTAACTGGTATTTTTAAACCAAAAGAAAGCAACTGAGAACCATGTTTTCGAAGATGTCAAAGCCCAAAATTTTTCCCTCAGGGACCCATTTAAGTGAAATGGAGTGTGGTCCGTATTTAGACAACGCCGTGATTATACCCGCCAGTATTTAGACAAATTGAATACTTAATTCTGATTGGTTTGAAACGAATCAAAATCTGAACGCGAGAATAAACAAGAAGTTGGAAAGTAACGAATTAATATCTTAATTGGCCGAAAGTTGGCAATAAATTGTTGCAAAATAATGGAGTTTTGTTTTGTGAAAGCCCGTTTAGAGGAGAAAACTTACTTATTGATGGTTATTTATAAAAAGAAAAGGAAAATATTCAATACTATAGATGCGTTATCGATAGTTGCCCGTCCCGATTAACTCTTGAAGTTGGCTCTTTCCCCCCCCCCCCACCTCACGCCAGTTTCAACTTATTTGTGTAACGAGTGGTTTTACGAGGTTGAGTATGAAGACCAAATATGTTTGCCGTGGCCCTATTAGTCTGTATGTAAAATTTCATAACAATCGGACAATGTGGTCAACAAATTTACATGTAAGAATTTGCAGGTGGGGGGGGGGGGTAAAGGAAAAAGAGCCTCGAAATTTTAAATATTATAATTGTTAATAATTCTGTAACTCACCGCAATTGCCTGAAGATCACGAGTCAGAGCAAAAAGTGAAGGAAAACGGCACGAAAATAATTTTAAACTCAGCTGTCACCCTGAAAACAATTTACGAAAATGAAGTGTAGGACACAGATGAAAATTGTTTTTCGCCATTATTCAGCCAAATACGAAGAGCAATGTGTCGAACCCGCGAAAAATTTTTGATATTTATACCCCAAAAATTGTGAGGAAATAAATCCGAACGATCAATGGACAAACCTCGAACAACTAAAAATTTCTACTGCAACAAGGCGATGAAATGCTAATGTCTGCAACTATTGAAGGACTCGAATTTCTGGTGAGATCAAAAAATGTTTTGGCGGATGGAAGGTTCAAAACGGCACCCGACTGTATTTCAAATTTTTATAATTTTCTGATGCAGTGAAATTTGGAAAGCACCGGCCGTCTTTTTTGTAAATCAGCTTGCCTTTTTTGCCTGCTGATGAGCTGATTGTATGTTTCCAAATTTAACAGTCTAAAATATCTGAAATTTGTTCTCGACACAAAAAAAAATCTTGAAAAAATTTTCAGTACAATACTGAATTTTGAATAAGTGGTGACGTCTCCCTTGATATGTGGAAAGTCTTTGACAGGGATGTTACCCTGAGAATTACCAACAAATGCAAAAGGTGGAATGTGAGATGGAACAAGGAAGTTGGCGTCCTTCAGCCAATTTTATGGAATTTCCTGTAAAATTAAGTGCCCAAGAAATCGAATCTCGAATGCAACTACGAAGAATTTCGCGTGTCAAACCAGCCCGAAAAAGCTACCGAAATATCAATTATTTGATGAATAATTATTCGCTGGTAAAATTCTACATGGGGGGTCACTTGTTGTCGATAATTCATTCAGCGGGAGTTGTATTCATTTGTCAAATCTTTGTCAAAATTATGAACTTTCTCTAACTATTGAATTTCTTTCGGCTTAAGATTTTTCTGTTTTAAGATATGTCGAATATTATTTTTTTATTCTTGAGTGACTTCTATTTTTGCTTTCTCTATTCTGTGTGCTAATTCAATTTTGGTCTGCTTACCGACGAACCGACGAGTAGGAATACGCGGTCGTCTAAATACTGCTACGTAAGTTAAAGGGACCCAACTATCTATCATACTTGCTCTATCCGACAAATGAGCTTTGAAGCATGTTAATTTAACTGTTCGAATATAAGCGAATTCTATTTCATCAGAGTTACGATTGGAGATTTTTTGTGTAGCGGTGTCAAAGGGACCCAACTATCATTCTTGTGCTCGACAAATGAGCTTTGAAGCATGTAAATTGAAATGTTCGACTTTAAGAAAATTCATTTTCTCAGAATTACGATTGGAGAGTTTGTGTAGTGGCGTCAAAGGACCCAACTATCATACTCCTACCCGACAAATGAGCTTTGTAGCATGTAACTGTTCGAATTTAAGGGAATTATATTTCTCAGGAGGGAGAAGGTTTCTACGATTGGAGAATTTGTGTGTAGCGGCGTCTTTAAGTCCCACCAATAATGGTTGTCGTCTTAACAGCTGTCGTGTTTTTTGTCGGACACATGGCAGAATCACAGAATACATCAATGATGGTTGTGATGGTTTTAAATTGATAGCAAAACGAGCAACTTGATGTGCAAAAAAAACTAAAGATATTGATCGGAGAGATATCTTGTAGACGATATTTTTCTCCGTTGAGATAAATACAATCTTTATTTAAAAAAACTAAATGTGCAAAACACCAAAGATTTTGATCGGAGAGATATCTTGTGGGGAAACTAAAGATTTTGATCGAAGAGACTTTGTGGGCGATATTTTCTCCGTTAAGATAAATATAATCTTTAATGTCTTAAAAATGTTCACTGTAAATGTTTTGATATATAGATTGCCTTTGGATAGTGTCCATTTTTGTAAGAAGTTTTGAAATTGTTGTACGGATGTGATGTTGTTGTACGGATTTAGAGTATGTACCTATGGATTGTAAATCGATATTAGGATTTCGAGCAATGGTGCGTATGCTTTCAGATAATCTGTTTTCTAATGTTTAATAAAAAACGCATAGAAATGCACAAAGCAAATGGATAGGACAAAGGAATCTGTCGGAACCTCTTCGGGTCTTTTCTGTTTTCTAATCCAAATTTGCAGGAATGTTAATGGAAGAAAAGTCTCGAAAAATGTTAAAAGTGGTCGCATAAGTCCCAAGAGCGCGCGCTTTGCGGCGATCACGGGCTCTGTTTTCGTATACAGTCCTACCCGCTGTTGGCAAGCTTGTAACACGTTGGCGCGACTGCGGTGGTCACTAATTTGTCGCTTGAGTTTATGCTGTTTGAACAACAAACTTTTAATCCATCTAATCGTTGGCTAAATTTTCAAACCAATAGAGTTCAAAAAGAATAACCTCTGGAACTGTTTTTGGGTCATGACAACGTTGGGAGCTTTGGAAATTCACTTCCTATTGCTACGATGAAGGGTTTTTTGAGGTGCTGAAAAATTGATGATATAAATACCCTGTAGCTGTGCAAGTAGTAGTACAGATAATTTTGATCGCGCTGATTAAAGTAGTTCCTTTACTCAAATCAGTGTGGTCAAAAAATTCTGTGCTACTTGGAAGGAAAAATGAGACAAACTTTCAAATAAAAAAGTGACTGTGCTACTTGGAAGGAAAAAAATTCTGTGCTACTTGGAAGGAAAATGAGACAAGCTTTCAAATAAAAAAAGACAAATTTTCAAATAAAAATAAGACAAATTTTCAAATAAAAAAAGCTGAAAATTTTATTATTTTTATTTTTTTAATCACTAAATAGCGATTGAAACGTCAGCGTCGTCAGAACAATAAAGTCAAACCAAATTTCTCATTGAAATAGACTTGGTATTAGGTGCTGGTGACTGGACGAAAAGAGAACGTTGACAAGGCGGGAGAGAGACTACTGGCTCTGGTGCCGATCGAAGACTCCGTTGAAGTGCCTCAGAGGTTCCACTCCACCCTCATTGGATCCGGAGGGGGACAGCTTCGAGAGGTATGTTAAATGGTCCAATCTACCGTCTGTCTTGTCTGCGGAACCTTACATATATATTCTCTATTATGTTTGTTTGGAACCTATAAACTATAGGTATCTATTTACACTTGCGATTAGCTAGTATTTTCAAATCGGATACAAGACTTTTTGATCTATAAACAATTTGTGTTACAAAAACACGTGTTTTCATTTTTACGTCATAAACTAGATCTTTTCAGTGATTCCGCCCGAAACGAAACGCCCGTGATTCCGCCCAGTGATTCCGCCCGTTAAGAAACGCAATATCGTTAAGTGAAAGAGTCACTCAAGTTAAGCAATGAAAGTTTGGTGCGAGTATTTTAATTGCTCTGTTGATATGTTGAAATTCTAAAATTTGAGCAAAGAAAGCCTTTTTTCTTCCAGTTCTATTTTGTTTTCGAATGCCTTAGCGTGTCTGTTTGGGAGTCTCAAGAGCGTCGACCCAAGTGTTATCTGCTTAGCTGTCGCAGCGTAAATTTTGGTTCGATGCTAAGTTAACACTAAACTTCCTTCAAGACTTATCGAAACAAATGTAGTTTGATAGATATGGTATTTTCCCCGTTTTTGCGGCTTTCGTCTCTTTTTCTTTCGTCTAGTTGTGTTGTATCGCAAATAGTGCGAAGCTCCGCTTCGTCTGTATTACAAGTTCATGCTCACGTTTAGATGCAGACAAAACACAACGTGCGCATCTCTATTCCGAGACCCAGTGCCTTCGGAGGTGCAGCAGCAGCAGCGAATGGAGGAGAAGGAGAAGGTGGCGAGGAGGGAGATTGGAAGGGGGCTGATAAAGTGATTGTTTTTGGGACACCTGAGAATGTTAAAAGTGCCAAGGAGGATTTGGAGAAAGTGGTGGGAGAACTAGTTGCCAAGTCGTACCGAGTCGAGGTAAAGCGTTTGAACACATGAATAGGACATTTTCAATACCATATCGGCTCGGTGTAAAATGAGTTGTCATCAAGGGTCAAAATGATCAGAACCTGGTGAAAGTTATGACTTTTTATTTTCAGTTCCCAGTGAATCCAAAATACTTCCCGAAAATCATCGGCCCCAAGGGATCCACTATTGCGAAGCTGAGGGAGCGCCACGGGGTTGAGATCATGTTGCCGAGACAGAACTCGGGAAGTGGCGAGGACGAATTGGTAGCCATTGTCGGATACCAGGTCAGTGCTTCTTACTCATGGTGGCGAAAAAATGAGTTAGATCGTAGTATAGTGTGGATTTATGATTGAATTCGAGAGATTAAAATGTCGCATCACTTTCGTAGAAGAGAATGATTCAGGAAGGATGGAAATACTAATGGCAAAAGCGAATCGCTTTGAGTAAATTCTGTGACGATTCCGTGACGTGACTTATTATTACACCAGCGTCAGCTTAGTGTATTATTTGTAAGAACCTTCTTTTTTTCTTACCTAAGTCGCAAATATTGACGCTAATTTTGGGGAACCTTTACAACTTTTTGATAGCATGTGCTTTGACATTCGAGTAGTAATAAGTTAACACAAGAAAATTGTGTCTAGTTTTATTTGGTGCCACTTTTGCTAAATGCCATTGGTAATTTAATGACGTATTTAGCTGCTTTATTCGTGACTAGTGTTTAGCGGTGTTTAAGCGTGCGTGGCTGAGTGGTTAGTGGGTGAGACTTAAAATCTTTTATTGCAGTAGGTCGCAGTTTGCAGTAGAATTCTTGCTAATTCTAGGCTTATTTCTATTTTTCTTATTGCTTTTTCTAGAGCTATCGCCTCTATGTAATCATTGCTTGATGCATTAGTCAACATTAAAGAAAGGTTAAGTGGGAAATGACTTGCATCAAACTGACATAACTACAGTTCATTTAGAAGAATTAAGAGTTCGACTCAGTGCGAGGAGTTAATGACCAGCAAAGGATTTAACAGCAGCTGCATTGCTTTAAGGGGTTTTCGAACTTCGTAATTTTGCACGATTTTGTTACCTGATGTGTTTTAGGACAAAGCTGACAAATGTAAAGAGGAGATCACGAACATCGTGTCTCAGTTTGAGGCCTACGAGACTGTGGAAATAAACATTGACACACGACTGCACGCGCGGTTCATCGGGGCGAAGGGGAAGAATCTGAGGAAGATGCAGGACCAGTACAAGGTCGAGATACGATTCCCAGGCAGGGGCTCACAGGAACCCAGCAAGGTAAGCCAGCAATCGAGCTCAAGCATTTTATTTACTGGCAACGCTGCAAATTGAAGGTCATGTGCTACAAATTATTTTGCAAGGTGATTTGAGAATTGGTATGTTAGAAGCCTGCTCGCTCGCTTTATTAGATCGAAAGTAGACTAAAGTTGGATATTTCTCAACACAGAATTTTTTAGTGTCGTTCAAATTACGGCTGAAAGGGCTTTAATATGTTATGTCACTCGAACCATTTCGGTGATTATTTGTGGTACCTGAGTTTGCGTGGGAAAAAAAAAGAAAAAAATAAACACACCCTAAGACTAAGTTCCTCCTCATTTTCAATGGTCGGAATAAGTCAGCCGGTTCTTAAATTTGCCCCAGTACTTTTCTATGACGCAGAATCGTAATTGCAATAGGGTTTGCTTGTTTGTTTCAGGTCACTATTACTGGCCCTGCTGATCCCGTAGACGAATGCAGAGACAAGCTGCTCTGCTTGGCCGAAGAATATGTAAGCAGTTTTCAACGAGCAATTTTGCAGTTGGCGCATTTCTCGTGATCGATTTCTAGTTTCGAAAGTGCAATTTAATTTCCCAGTGGAATAAAAGTTTTACCTATTGATTCAGTTTTTACACAAGCAAAGATTGTGTAATAGTATCAACTCTCTTTTTTTTCCAACATAAGTCGCAAATTGTAGTGTTCATTTTGGAAGTGTTCATTTTGATCAATAACCAGCTATTAAGTACAGCTAACGCTAAGGATATCAAAAACAGTCTCTTGTATTACAAATAGCACTTCAGCTTTAAGGTATCATGGATCTGTAGCGTAGAGGTAGGTAAGGAGACCCGCAACGAAATAAGATGGTTCGAACCTGGGCAGGGTCGGATGTTTTAATGAACTTTTTCGTATAATATTTAAAATGCATCCGCTCTATACATTGAGGCATGTTAGTTGGTACATTTTTTTTTTCAAATTGACTGGTACTGCTAATGCATCATTAGTGGCTTGCGTCACTTAGCATTTTTGTAGACTCATAATTGGCGTGCGTCACTTAAGAAACTTTGTAGACTCAAAGTTTTACTCATTCAGTTTTTCCCAGTAGAGTTCTTGGTCATATTTTTGCTTGTGTATGCGAAGTGCAACTTCGCCTCTGTGTCTCAACGTAGGCTAATTTTATCAAAAAAGTCACTCATAAATTTTCTAGAAATTCAAAAAGCTTTAAGGCCATATAATTTACTTTGAACTCCATATGTTGAAGTTTTTAAAGAGTTGATGAACGTAATTCAGACTCTTATATAGATCGCAATGATTTTTCTTGTTTTTTTTTTCAGGAAAAGTCTCAAAATTTGTTCAGGCTCAAATTTACTCTTTTTCGTTTCAATTTTGATTTCTTTTCAATTTCGGTTCATTATTTTTGTTAAAAGGAAGCCAAATTCCACTATCGAACGAACAGCAAAAGTGTTAAGGTCCAGAAAAGATTTCAGGAAAAAGTTATAAAATTCTCTAATAAACTACAGATGTGCATTCATAAATCTTAATGCATTTATGAGTGCATTTAGGTATAAATGCACTTTTTGAGTTCAATTGAAATTCATCTGCTGAAAGTTACGTAAATAGCACTCTCTTAATACGAACGTGGAAATGGCGCAAAAAGTGAACAATTTCTAGTCTCTTAAGTAGATAGAATTCAGTTTTTAGATTTCCAGCTGAATAAAAACTTTACATATTGATCCAGTTTTTTCAAGTTGGGTTAATGTTATCAAAAAATTTGTTCTAGAAGTTCATAGAGATTAAAGGGCATCTATTTTGAGTAATGAACGTAGTGAAAACACTTATATAGGTCTTGATGATTTTTTTTGTTTTTTTCGCGGTTTGACTTGTGATTTCTGTTTAAGTTCAGTGCATTTCCATTGTTACAAGGAGGGTAAACTCCACTATCGAACAGCAAAAGTGTAAAGGTCACGAAAACGTGATCGACTTCTAATTTCGAAAATGGAAATTAACTATCAGATTTCCCAGCAAAATAAAAGTTTACCCATTGATCCAATTTTATCAAATTGGGTTAATTTCAACGAAAAAGTGTTCACAAATTGTTCTACAAGAGTTTAAGGCTATCTATTTAATTCTTCGAAATTCAAAAGTTGAAGATTTTTGAAAAACCAGTCGGTTTTTTTTTCAGTTTCCCTGCGTTCATTACTCTTTTCCAACTGTCAGTTGGCTATGTTTTTTGAAATTTGAATGCTTTTTTTGTTTACTTGCGTTCATTGACTCTTTTCTAAGTGTCTGTTGGCTATGTTTTCAAAAAATTAAGTCCGTGTTTTTGGTTTCCTTGCGTTCATGGCTCTTTTCCTACTGTGCGTTGGCTATGTTTTAAAAACCACCGCAGGGTTTTCATCTTGTAATTCTATACAAATGGATTGTTTACAGATGCTCGAGTTCGGAGATGAAGATATCGAATCTGAGTACACTCATCCCTCCTCCAGGAATCACATGAACGGCAAGGCCTCCGTTAATGGGCGTCATCGCGAGTCCACCGGATTCATGGTCCGAGACGCGCCCTGGGATCCCGCCAATTCCTCCGATTTCCCTGCACTCGACGACTCGCCTCAAGGTGCTCCTCGGAACTCGTGGCCTGTTCGGGGATCGCGACATTGAACGATGACTTTTACGCTGGCGTTGAGCTACGTTTGGCACTCGGAGAACGTGAACTAGTTGAGAAGATATGGGCAAAATGTGAACAAACTAAACTTACATTGATTGAGTAGATTTGTGCTTTGATTGACGGGCTAAGAAATAAATATATAACGAAAAATGGATACGTGATCTTTTCCAGTGCCTTAAACACACTTTATTCCTTGATTTGTCCTCTACTTTTGTGCATCATAATCATCGTTTCTCGTTTCATCATCCTTAATATTTCTCAATATTGCTGTGTAGCTACTTTAACTGTAATCTATAAGGTGGTAGTGCTATATTGGAAGCTTCTGCAGTAATTAGCGGTTAAATACGTTTAAGCGCGGTTTAATAAACTGTGATTTAGGGTCTTTTCTAAAGATGTAAACTGAATAAATAATTGGACTTCGGTGCAAATATACACTGATTCAAATAATATCGTTTAATGTATAGATTTTCCTTGTTTCCTTTATTTGCCTCGATATTTCTTTTAAAAAACTAATTGTGGTGACAACGTAAGCCAGTTGATCTCCTGGTTGGTTCTAAATCTTGTCTGGTGAATAGATGCCTTGATTTTTAGAATCTCTTATATGAAGTAATGTCTAGGTAGATATCTTTTGGTGCGCGCCTATAACATACCTCCTCTGAGCAATAGCAGCATTATGAATTTTTGGAAAATTATTTAACGGCGAAGACGTTTTTTGAAAATTATTTAACGGCGAAGACATTCTTTTAAGATTTTTTTCACTATTTGTTCAATTCATTGCGAGGTATGTTGAAGATTATTGATGTGGTAATGACAATACTATAGAAATTTTAATGATATTTTTCGGCTAATCGGTGTTCAATGCCGAGTTTTTGCTAATATCGGTTTGGGTCATCGAAATACGACAATGATATTAATTTACAAAAAAAAAACATTTTGATAGCAGTTAACGACAAAATCACTGAGCAATTCATCGTGAAAACCGCTTAAAAGTAGTCTAATAAAATATAGTGAGTTGTAGTTGGCTCGGCAGATGTTACAAATACTTCAAGCAATTAAATTGGCATTAACTAAAAAATTGAAGTTAATTGGCGGTGATGTGAATTTGTGTATTATGATTGTGTATTCTATTTGGTTAGTCAATTAATGATGCAACATTACCTGTCCATGACGTCATGGTATATCCCCATCCTCCCTTCGCTCACTTCCGACTCGTCTCGATCTTATCCGCTGTTACCTAAGTGGACATTCCAATTCAAATATTGAAAACCATCTGTTTTTAATCGAGCACCGTTCGAAATCTTCCCGTACCGAGAAAGTTCTTTAATTCTGTCACGAAATACTTAATTTCCGATCTCAAATTCTGGTCAGCAATTCTTTGCGAAATGTTTAAATAAAGCATGGATTTTCTAAAAAAATCTTTATTTCTTCTGGTCAGAAATTTTCTAAATCTAGGCTATTTCTTATCAGAAAAAGGCTTATTTCTAATCTAATTTCTGTTTGGAAAGTTTCTAAATCTAGGCTAATTCTAATCTAATTTTTTTTGTTCAGAAAACTTTTTAAACTAGGATCTTAAAAAAATTGACATTGATATATTCAATTCGAAAATGGCCGAAATTTTAGAGTAGGGAACGTAGTCTTGGTGATTTTTTTTTTTCAGGTAAAAGTCTTAAAATATTGATGCACTTGGATATATATATATGCACTTTTTAAATAAGTTAAAATTCATCTGCTAAAAAAGACGTAAATAGCACTCTCAGAAAACGAACGTGCAAATGGCGCAAAAGGAATTTAATTTTTACAGTTCCAGCGGAATAAAAAGTTTAGCTGTTGACCTTGTTTTCTCAAATTGGGTTAATGCTATCAAAAAAACGCCCATCATGAATCGTTCCAGAAATTCAAAGAGTCAGAAAGGCATCAGTTTTTTTTGTGAAATTGGAAAATTGAGATTTTTTCAACAAAGTCAGTGGGTTTTTTTGTTTAATTGCGTTCAATACTCTTTTCCAAACTTCGATTGGCTACTTTTATAAATAACCAGAAAAAATTACCGATGTTTTCCACTAAGAGTGTTCACTGCCGAGTCACAATACGAGTAGGTCCTGTTATTGTAACTCGGATTGCACGCCATTTTCGCATGGCGTATCATTCGGGTGCTCCCTGTGGTTCCTCATATTGTCCAGCAGATTCTGCATCAAATGGATGATTGCACACATTTCAAACCTATTCCTCCTATGTTTCCTCAATTTTTTTGCCAAGGGTGAGAGAGATTCGTTACTAGGTGCACACTTCACAATCGCAAAATTTGATGAAATTTTCTCTTCGTGAAGTGCTGCACCACTTGCGATATAGCAAAACCTAGCACGGCAGATAGCACAAAAAAAAACGAAACACTAAAGCTGTGTTTTATTTTTAAGAGTTATGAACGTAGAGAGTACTCTTGTATAGGTCTAGCTGATTTTTTTTAAGGAAAAAGTCAACAATTTGTTCACACTGTTTTGATTTTTTGCGGTTTGACTTGTGAGTTCTTTATAAGTTCAGTTCATTTCCATTGTTAAAACGTGATTGACTTTCTAATTTCGAAAATGGAAATTAATGATCAGATATCCCTGTGAAATCAATGTTTTGCCTATTGATCCAGTTTTTTTAATTGAGTTAATAAAATCAAAACAGTGCCAATAATAAATTGTTCTAAAGAACTCGAGCTTTAAGGGCATCTATTTTTTTTCTTTCAACTTCGAAAGCTCTTTAAACTTCATTCATGCGTTCATTCTATAGTGTACTCCGAAAAGCAAAAGAAAAAAATCTGTATTCCAGTTCTTCGAAATTGTTGATTACATCTGAAAGCACAATCATAAAGGCTTCAAAATAATACTCACTCAATAAAGTCTTTTCCTTACAGTACCTGAATTCGAATCGACAAATATCAATCTGGATGCAACAGTCATTTTTCCCTTTCGTTATCTCGAACAACAACTTGAAAGGACAGTCGGTAGACTTTAAAGCTGGGAATGCTTTAGTCGAAGCGGAATGTCTGTATACTGAATATTTGTGAAGTCATTTGTCTTCAGTCTTACTTATCGGACCTGCTTAGTAAAGTTGAAGGTCTTGTCAAATTTAAACACTTCGAGATAATCAAAAACAAAGCCTATAAGGACAATTTGATTCCAGCAAATTTTGAGTGGTTGAGGTTTCTTTTAAGACTGGTGTTTGAAGTTTATCATTATAGATAAGATAGTTCGGTAGAATTAGAGATTTGAAATAGTAGTAGTTTCCAAGATTGCTTAAAAATAATTGACTGGTTCCTATTTTGAATTAGCTCGAAATGAAGATCGACGTGGAAATAATTTGCACCCTTGTATTTTTCGCGTTTTCTTTACTGTCAGTTACATCACGAGCGTGCTCGGGAAGTTCTAATATGTTCAGCTCTGTTATCGGAAGCACGAATAACTACTGGCATTTGAAACAAAAATATTACAGAAAAGGGGCGAAAATCAATGGGAAATTTTTTTAAATAAAAAACGGAACAAAAATAACGTTCTTCAAGTCAGAAAATAACTAATTGCGCTTAATTGCGGATTTCATATTTTAAAATGGTCATTAATTATTATGCTTGCAATTAGCAAGCGTTTACCAAATCGAAACAAAGAATTGCTTTAGGCAAACATTTTGTCTAACAGAACCCCTGAATCATTTTCTAAAATCTGTCTTCGTCAACCAATGGACACATTTTGAGCATGTTGAACCAATTCAAAATAAGAATTTATTTTATATCTTGATATTTATCACTGTAAAATATTTAGATCTAAACAATCAATGTTGATTGCTAAAACTTACGATAAATTATAAACCTAAAACTATTCATAGTTTCAGCCAGAGAAAAAATCATACAGATTGAAATCAGTTTCTTTACTCCTCACAAGAATATCAGTATATACTAGATCTATAAAAGAACTATAAAAGAAAGATTAAGATTGGTATTAGACGAAGGAGTTGCACGAATATATCCGGCCAAAATAAGATAGCGTGTCGAACAGATGAACTTCACCCAAAATTACTCAATGAGAAGGCCAACCCGGACCTAAACTCACATGTCTACTTTTTAAATGCCTTTTTGATTAGATTTTTTTTTACGTTAGTTGTAAGTTAAAGCATTCAGAATGATATAACATATATAAATGACTTCAGCTCATTTAATAGAAAGATATGAAAAAACATATAATTGAAACTCATTTAGTATTTCCAAAAAAAAATGAAAAAAAAAAATTTGAGGAAAAGTTAATTTTTTCAAAAATATCATTGAAGTTTTAATAAGACTTCAAATAATAAGAGTTGCAATTTTTCACATTTTCAAAAAATGCCCCCAATTCGGGGGAAAAGTCAAGAAAAATAACAGTTTTTCCTAGCTATCTTATTTAAAAAAAATTGTCGGAAACTTGATATGTTATTTGCACAGCAACTAGCAATTCTATTTTCGATGCATCTATTTGTTTTAGTTACACTTATTTCTTGTTTAATTGCACAAACTCATCTTTGTTTTATAATACGAAATGAAAATTCTCACTTCATTTCAAAGAATCATCAATTTTAGGTATCCTTTTTTCAGACACATTTTATCGAATTTAGATATAATTTTTTAGAAAAAAGTTTCGTAAATTTTGCAAGTTTTTAATTCTCATGAGTTTCGTTTTTTTTGCTAATATAAAAAAATGCCGCACTGTAGTTCTGTGCACAAAATGTTAAGCATTACTGTAGGTCCGTTTGCGCCCTTCGAACTGTTAAGTGCAAAGTTTTCGACCAATCAACATTCTTAAAACTGTCCAAAATTGGTTGAATTTTCTGTCAAAACCAGCAAGCTATTTGAAATCATTACTAGATTTTACCGTAACGAAAGTTTGCTGACATGGTTTTCCTGATCGTTCTTCGTAATTTATCAGCATATCAAACTTCTATTTTTGTCAGTTCGGCGCAGAGGCGGTGCCCATACTAGAGACGACACAGTTAGGGTACGAGTCTGGTGAGAAACATCCCTTTTTGCATATTTTGATTCTGTTGTTTAAAAACCAAATCTTTCATTTTAGCGTGTTCATTTATCGTCGCTTTAAGTTTTCGCAGCACGAATTTCCCCACACCAATGCTACCTTTGTTATATTCGATGACTTCAACTTTTCATTTGCAATCAGGACCGTTACTTGATGTCTGAGAATCTGCTGCTGGATTGAACAGCTGTTCTGTAACTGTGTTGAAGCTGAGGCTTGCGTTGGTGGTGTCAGGTTCTTGTTTTTGAAGCGGCGGTCGGTTTATCGTTGATGTGATTTTTCATATAGCTCCGGCTAAAACCACTACCAAATTTCTGAAATAATTTAAAATATGTAATTTTTCACGTTTTCAAAAATGTCCCAAATTTGGGGGAAAATTCAAGAAAAAATAACAGTTTTTCCTAGCTATGTCATTAAAAAAAATTGTCAGGAACTTGATATGTTATTTGCACAGCAACTAGCAATTCTATTTTCGATGCATTTATTTGTTTTAGTTACAATTATTTCTTGTTTAATTGCACAAACTCAGCTTTGTTTTATAATACGAAATGAAAGTCGCTCACTTCATTTCGAAGACTCATCAATTTTAGGTATCGTTTTTTCAGACACATTTTATCGATTGAAGGTATAATTTTTTAGAAAAAGTTTCGTAAATTTTGTAAGTTTTTAACTCTCATGAGTTTCGTTTTTTTTGCTACTGTACTTCTGTGCACAAAAAGTTAAGCATTATTTTGGGTCCGTTTGCGCCCTTCAAACTGTTAAGTGCAAAGTTTTCGACCAATCAACATTCTTAAAACTGTCCAAAAAATTGATTGGATTTTCTGTCAAAACCAGCAAGCTATTTGAAATCATTACTAGATTTCACGGTAACAAAAGTTTGCTGACAGGTTTTTCCTGATCGTTCTATGTAATTTATCAGCATAACAAGATTCAACTACTATTTTTGTCGGTTTGGCGCAGAGGCGGTGCCCATGCTGGAGACAACCCAGTTAGGGTACGAGTCCGATGAGAAACATCGCTTTTTGCGTATTTTGATTCTGTTGTTTAAAAACCAAATCTTTGGTTTTAGTGTGTTCATTTATCGTCGCTTTAAGTTTTCACTGCACGAATTCCCCCACACCAATGCTACCTTTGTTATATGCCAATTTGACAATTGACAACCATCTTAGATGACTTCAACTTTTCTTATGCAATCCTGGAAAAAAATTGAAAACCAAAACTGAGCAATTACAAAAA